AAATTAAACTTTTCACCATTTTTTAGTTTTAAACACTGGTGATATTTGCTCAAGTGTAAATAATTTACAGCTAATATTTACAGGGCTTGTGCTGTGTGCAAGGCACCATATCAAAGGTTTTATAAGAAGTCTTTCAATTAACAGTCTCAGCCACATGAGATTTTGGTATTATTATTACCCTAGTTTACTAGTAAGGAATGACAATTTATTCTGCCATTTTTATGGTTGTTTTTATAATATCCTAAATGACAATTTTTACATTGCTTACAAGTTTTTAGGCCAAACTTAAGTTGAGGAAAGTAAAAGTGAGTGGAAAATATCATAAGGATAATATACTTTCAACATATGACTACAGGGTATGACAGCACAGAATTTCTAACCAATTAAATTTATGTTTGATTTTAAATGAAAAGGGTTACTTATCCAACAGCTGGTATCACTAAATCTACTTTAAATATTTAGCCATCATGCATAACAAATTACCATGTTTATTTAATAAAAGAATGGTTAGTGAGTGGGTTAACAAATACTAGCATCAGAAAAAGCAGGATCTTTAATAGAAGCTGGTAGCGTCTGACCACCTGGCATTAATCACTGACTCACCACAGCTTGCTCGAATAGTTCTCTCAGCTTCTGCTCAGACTCTCCGGATACTCCAGACACAATCTCTGGAGCAGCCACTTTCAAAATCGGCAGGTCAAGTTCCTATGCGGACACATAAAAGAATAACTAAATATTCAAATTTTAATTTTCCTACTTTTTCTTTATCCAGTCTCCTCAAATTTTTTAAATAGCTAGCTTCCCGAGGAACTTCATCTTTTTATGTTGGCCCAGTGAAAAACACTATTTAAAAATCAATGGTTTTGGCCAGGCGCAGTGGCTGACATCTGTGATCCCAGCACTTTGGGAGGCCGAGGTGGGTGGATCACCTGAGGTCAGGAGTTCGAGACCAGCCTGACCAACATGGAGAAACCCGATTTCTACTAAAAATACAAAATTGGCCGGGTGTGGTGGTGCATGCCTGTAATCCCAGCCACACAGGAGGCTGAGGCAGGAAGCTGTGGTGAGCTGAGATCATGCCATTGCACTCCAGCCTGAGCAACAAGGGAGAGACTCCGTTAAAAAAAAAAAAAAAATCAATGGTTTTATGTAAACACGTTTAAGTGGATACTATTATCTTTTTATTTTATATATGTCACTACAAAATTCTATTATCTTTTCTGAATAAAGGCTCTTGACTCTCAAGAGATATATATGTTATCCCCCACTTAGGGCTGAGCCAAAGCAATTCTTTGTTTTGATATAGAGACTGTCTCACTATGTTGCCCAGGCTAGTCTAAAACTCCTAGCCTCAAGCAATCCTCCTCCTTCAGCCTCCCAAAGTGCTGGGGTTACAGGAGTGAGCCACCATGCCTGGCCTATCAAAATAATTCTTACCCAACTGCTGAGGAAAAAATAGCAAGGGTTGTGACACAGGTATTTCCCATGCATCCTGCTAGTATTTCTCCAAATCCTAACCCAGAGAGTAGCCAGTTATTAGTCAGAAGGGGGAGACTCTTTAAGAAGAGACCAGGCGTGGAGGCCCATGCCTGTAATCCCAGCATTTTGGGAGGTCCAGGAGGGAGGAGTGCTTGGAGTTTGAGATCAGCCTGGGCAACACAGTGAGACCCCATCTCTATAAAAAACAATAAATTAGCCAGGCATGCTAATGCATGCCTGCAGTCCCAGCTACTTGCAAGGCTGAGGCAGGGGGATCACCTCAGCCTGAGAGGTCGAGGCTGCAGGAGCTGTGATCATGCAACTGCACTCAGCCTAGGCAAGAGAATGAGAATGTGTCTAAAAAAAAAAGAGAGAAGAGACACTACTGTTGTCCCATTCCCGTGGTTGAAATTTCACTTTCCCAATCGTATCTTTGTTGAATCCAGCTCTAATTTGGGAATCCCAACATACCACATAGCATTTTGCACTTCTTGTCTTGTCTTCCACTTATTACAGTTGTTACTATGTACAGCATTTGTTTGTATCAATGACCAATTAATGTCTCTCTCATATTAGAACTAGAATTGTCGTACTTAATACTATATTCCAAAGTCTGGCATGCAGTGATGATGTCATAGAATTATTCAACAAAAATGAAGCAAACCAATCAAGTCTCCCTTTACAAATGATTTTCTTTCATAGAACATTATTGTATTAGTGCTTGGTTCAGCATGCTATTTTTCTTTCTTTTTTTTTTTCTTGAAATGGAGTCTTGCTCTTGTTGCCCAGGAAGTACAATGGTGCGATCTTGGCTCATGGCAAATTCTGCCTCCCAGGTTCAAGTGATTCTCCCGCCTCAGCCTCCCAAGTAGTTGGGATTACAAGCATGCGCCACCACGTCTGGCTAATTTCGTATTTTTAGTAAAATGGGTTTCTCTGTGTTGGTCAGGCTGGTCTCAAACTCCTGACCTCAGGTGATCTACCTGCCTCGGCCTCCCAAAGTGCTGGGATTACAGGCATGAGTCACCGTGCCCAGCCAGCATGCTATTTTTCTAACTGAAGTTACTCAGATACTTTACATTACTGTCTAATACAGTTTCTGAAAAATCTGAGCGGGCTAAAATAAGATTGCTAACTTAATTTTACAAAATAAGTGTCTATTATTACCATTTTAGAAAGAACTATTTTAAAACTAAAAAGTATAAAAACATAACTCTAAATAGAAATTCTGAATAAATTTAGCTGTATGAAAAGTAATATAACCCTAGTTTTCTTATTTTATTGCTCCTAAGAACCACTGGGAGGGCAGGTGCAGTGGCCCATGCCTGTAATCCCAGCATTCTGGAAGACTGAGGAGGACTGCTTGAGGCCAGGAGTTTAAGACCGCCTAGACAACACAGTGGGATTCTGTCTCTACAAAAAAAAAAAAAAAAAAACACCCAAAAACATTAGCTGGGTGTGGTGGTGTGTTTGCGGTTCCACTACTTGGGAGGCTGAGGTGGAAGAACCACTTGAGCCTGGAAGGTTGATGCTGCAGTGAGCCATGATTGCACCACTGCACTCCAGCCTGGGCAACAGTGAAACTCTGTCTTAAAGAAAGAAATAAAATAAAATAACTATTGGCCTAAAGGGAAAGCAAAGTAACTAAAATGTAACCCATGTGTTAATAAAAAGGTTTGTTTGAAACTGTATTATTTTATTTTCTACCTAACTCTTGCCATATACAATTACATACACTAAAAATAAATTCCTCAAGTTGCTCCTGAGAAGCAAAAAATAAACTAAATGAATAAATACCACAAATAATACCAGCATGGTAACAAAGGGATCAGTTCCAATGACTATATTCTCTTCCTGAAGAATGCCAGGTCTGGTTTAAGTTGACAAAAGAGAAAAAAACAAAAACAAATAATAACAACAAAAGGAGCAAAAGCAAACAAGTGTCAGCAATCCTCACCCCAGCAATTGCATGTGCAAGTAATGTCTTTCCACAGCCTGGTGGCCCATGAAGAAGAACTCCACGAGGGGGCACGACGCCCAGGTGGTGGTACACCTCTGGGTGACGCATGTGAATGAGCATCTTGCAGACCTCCTGGCAGAGGACAAGCACAAAGACGTCTTTGAAAACAGAAAAATCAAAGTAGAATGAAATGTCCTATTTTTTGGAGCAGTGAAATGGAGTAGGCAGGCAGAATATACACTTTAGACTCAGAACAGAGTTTGAATCCTGGCTCTGGTACCTACTGCGTGATTTCAGCTCTAACCTCTCCAAGAAGGTTCTATTTCCTAAGCTGTGACATTATCTACCTTGAGGATGCAATGAGGATGTAATGCAGAGTAACTAGCATGGCAGATGGAAAAGAGTAGGCATTAAAAATAAAGTTACCAAAACTATTAGTACTGTTAAGATAATATTACTGGCCGGGCGCGGTGGCTCAAGCCTGTAATCCCAGCACTTTGGGAGGCCGAGGCGGGTGGATCACGAGGTCGAGAGATTGAGACCATCCCGGTCAACATGGTGAAACCCCGTCTCTACTAAAAATACAAAAAATTAGCTGGGCATGGTGGCGCGTGCCTGTAATCCCAGCTACTCAGGAGGCTGAGGCAGGAGAATTGCTTGAACCCAGGAGGCGGAGGTTGCGATGAGCCGAGATCGCACCATTGCACTCCAGCCTGGGTAAAAAGAGCGACACTCTGTCTCAAAAAAAAAAAAAAAAAAAAAAAAAAAAAAAAAAAAAAGATAATATTACTTATAAAGCATGGATCTTATGTGCACTATAATTAAAATAATAGAAAAGTCGAAAATAGTATGCATCTTTTCTCCTGCAATGCCCTAAAGCCCTAAAGGGTACAGGTCAGGTTTGCCCTTCTCAACCTTCCCAGTTTCTTCTCTTATACCCAGTTCATATTAGAAACAAAGAGATACGCCTTCTCTCATAACTGATTAGTAACATAGCCATTTGAGGTAAAATTCTGAATTTGCACTAACTTTTAAGGTCATATCATTGCCTCCCACATCTTCAAACTTCATGTTGGAGATCTGGAATTCTAACCCCCCGGCTTTAGCTGGTAAACAAAAAAGGAGGAGATTAAAAGATTAATGATTCAGTAGTAACTCATAGAATGATGCTTCTCTCAATGCAAACATGACCACTGTCACCAACAAGACTCACACCTTACCTTTCTTTTGCAGGACAGCTTCAATTTCTCCATCTACTTCCTGAAGATCTTTCTTCCTTTTGCTTCCTTTATTTTTTAGCCTGCCTTTCCGTTTAATATCACTCTCCAAAAGAGAAGACTCTTTTGAATCCTGGAAAGAAAATAAATTTAAATATGCCATGCTTAAAATTCTATGCCAATAACTTTTATTTTTTAAAGAGGGACATTATAAAGAAAATTCATTCCTGCCCTAGCATTTTCACCTCTGTTAACTATTCCCAACCTCTTTGCTCAAAGATGCAGTCTATTGGGAATGTCCGTCTCCTCATTGCCTTAAACCTCAGTTTAAATCTTAACATCTGGTGCTGGCTTTGGCAGCACATATACAAAAATTGGAACAATACACAGAAAATTAGCATGGCCCCTGTGCAAGGATCACATGGAAATTTGTGAAGCATTCCATATGGGGGGGGGGGAATAAAAAAACTAAATCTTAACATTTAAATGCTTCTTTTCCAGATTTATACAGTTTTTCTTTTTCTTTTTTGAGACGGAGTTTCACTCTTGAAGCCCAGATTGGAGCGCAATGGCACGATCTCAGCTCACTGCAACCTCTGCCTCCCAGGTTCAAGTGATTCTCCTGCCTCAGCCTCCTAAGTAGCTGGGACTGCAAATGCCCACCACCACACCCAGCTAATTTTTATATTATTAGTAGAGATGGGGTTTTGAGATGTTGGCCAGGCTGGTCTCGAACTCCTGACCTCAGGTGATCTGCTTGCCTCAGCCTCTCAAAGTGCTGGGACTACAGGCATGAGCCACCATGCCTGGCCTTCTTTCAGTTAGATTTAATCTCTTCCTCACATTCCCAGGATACCGCATTTGCAACTATTAGTTGCCATAATCTGCCTTGTATGAGTGATTCACTTATCTCTGTTTCTCTCACTGAACTGTGAACTCCTTGATTAAGGACACTGATATTTGCCTTTTATTTCTCACTGGTCTTCTACATGGTTGTCTTCATCTGACAGCTGATGATTCACTAAATTAAATATGACTACAGAGCTGCTTTGACAGCCATAAAAAGGATAATTCAGCCAAGCACACTGGCACACACCTGTAGCTCCAGCTACTGGGGAGGCTAAGACCATTTGAGCCTAAGGTTTCAAGACTATAATGTTCTGTGATCATGCCTGTGAAAAGTGACTGCACTCTAGCCTGAGCAATGTAGCAATATTCCAACCCCCCCCAAAAAAAACGTGTTTTTAAGTATAATTCAGGCTGAGGCAGGTAGATTGCTTGTGCTCAGGAGTTAAAGACCAGCCTGGACAATACGGTGAAACCCCATCTCCACAAAAAATACAAAAACTAGTCAGGTGTGGTGCTGAGCACCTGTGGTCCCAGCTACATGGAAGGCTGAGGTGGGAGGATGGCTTATGCCCAGGAGATGGAGGTTACAGTGAGCAGTGATCAGGCTACTGTACTCTATCTAGCCTGGGTGACAAGGCAGGCTCTGTTTAAAAAAAAAAAAAAAAAAAAAAGGCCGGGCGCGGTGGCTCACGCCTGTAATACCAGCACTTTGGGAGGCCGAGGCAGGTGGATCAAGAGGTCAAGAGATCGAGACCATCCTGGTCAACATGGTGAAACCCTGTCTCTACTAAAAATACAAAAAATTAGCTGGGAGTGGTGGCACGTGCCTGTAATCCCAGCTACTCAGGAGGCCGAGGCAGGAGAATTGCCTGAACCCAGGAGATGGAAGCTGCGGTGAGCCGAGATCGCACCATTGCACTCCAGCCTGCGTAACAAGAGCGAAACTCCATCTTAAAAAAAAAAAGCAATTCAGCATTAAGACTCGCGTTATTGCCAACCATAACTATGTTCTCTATACATGGATGATATGGATAATTAAAGCAAAGAGATTTGGAAATGCCTATTAATAAAGGGTTTGCCAAATCAAAGAGCTTGGTTCTTAGAAACCAGTTGAAGCATCATTGTCCATGAGGAGTATGTGAGCCACATACGAAATTCATTTAATTATCTATTTTACTTAACCCAGTATATCTAAAATACTGTCATTTCAACATAGAGTCAATATAAAAAATTATTAATGAGATGTTTTACATTCTGTTTTTTCAGTAAGTCTTCAAAGTCTAATGTACACTTTAAGTTTAGAGCAATCTAAATTTGGACCATAAGAAACACTTGATTTCTATTCAGAGTTTGTAAGATTTACAGCTAAAGAAACAGATTCACAGGCCGGGCACGGTGGCTCAAGCCTGTAAGCCCAGCACTTTGGGAGGCCGAGGCGGGTGGATCACGAGGTCAAGAGATCGAGACCAACCTAGTCAACATGGTGAAACCCCGTCTCTACTAAAAATACAAGAAATTAGCTGGGCATGGTGGCGCGTGCCTATAATCCCAGCTACTCAGGAGGCTGAGGCAGGAGAATTGCCTGAACCCAGGAGGCGGAGGTTGTGGTGAGCCGAGATCCCACCATTGCACTCCAGCCTGGGTAACAAGAGCAAAACTCCGTCTCAAAAAAAAAAAAACAGATTCACATACTTAACAGGGTAGTAGAAGATGAGACTGAAGAGAAAGCCAGGCAGCCAAATCATAAAGGTCTTTATTGGCTCACAAGACCTTTGGATTTCAGACTGAATGAAGCCACTGGAGGGTTTTAAATAGAAGAATGATCATGTGTGGTGGCTCACGCCTATACTCTCAGAACTTTGGGAGTCTGAGGTGGGTGGATTGCTTGACCCCAGGAGTTCCAGAACAGCCTGGGCAACATGGGAAAACTCCATCTCTAAAGAAGATACAAAAGTTAGCTAGGCATGGTGGCCCATGCCTGTAGTCTCAGGTACATGGGAGGCCGAGGTGGGAGGATGGCTTGAGCCCAGGAAGGAGAGGTTGCAGTAAGCCAAGATCGCGTTACTGCACTCTAGCCCCAGCGACAGAGCCAGACCCAGTCTCAAAAAAAAAAAAAGAAAAAAAAGAAGAAGAAAAAGAAAAAAGCTATCTCTGTGTGAAGAATAAACTTGGGGAACAAGCAAGGACACAGACTCCAGCTGGAAGGCTGTTTCAATAATTAAGGCAAGAAAGAGAAAAGGCTTAGACTAGGATAGAAAGAATGGCAAGTAGTGCAATGTGACCAAATTCTCCATGCATTTCAGTGAAAAGGCTGAAATGTACTTCAACTATATGGGGCTAAAATTTCATTATGAAAATACCTGTATCTCAGTTATTGGCTTCTCTGGATTACTTTTCTCATCTGATAGTTCCAAGAAAAAACTGTCTTTTTTTCCACTTGGGGTTTTGTCAATAAACCATCCTCCTTCTGAATCTTTGGCAGGAGTCTTCAAGGGAATGGAGCCTGTTTTGGAACTTAACCGTGGTGTTGAAGAGGTGGTTTCTCTTTGCTCCATCTCAGGAGTATTTGAAACAGAATCAGGATTTCCTTTCCGATATAAAGACAGCAGGGAACTGTTCATGTGATTTGCTGACTGGCAGAAACATAAAATGAAACTTTAGCATAAATTACTCAACAGGTACTCATGAAAGTTGTATTGCCTATAGTAATAAGTTTTCTACATTTTGTTTTCAGGAACTTCTCTCAGAACGCTTATAATCAGAATATATAGGTGTTAGGCTGGGCACAGTGGCTCATGCCTGTAATCCCAGCACTTTGGGAGGCCAAGGTGGCCAGATCACTTGAAGTGAGGAGTTCGAGACCAGCCTGGCCAACATGGCAAAAATCCCTTCTCTACTAAAAATACAAAAATTAGCTGGACATAGTGCCAGGTGCCTGTAATTCCAGCTACTTCAGAAGCTGAGGCAGGAGAATCACTTGAACCCAGGAGGCAGAAGTTGCAGTGAGCTGAGATCATGCCACTGCAATCCAGCCTGGGTGACAGAGTGAGACTCCATGTCAAAAAAGAAAAAAAAAGAAAAGAAACAAAACGAACATATAGGTGATCACAAGTAAGATTATTCACAAACAAGCATTTATTATTCAAAAAGACTCCATTTCATTGCAAATTAATGGAAAACCAATTCATAACTAGTTAAATAAAATCAAATAAGTATGATTGCTTCTAACAAATACACTAAAGAAGTATGAAATGAGCTGATTACCAATGCGAGTCACTATTAGTCCATCAATTCAAAACTGGGGCTGTAATCCCAACACTTTGGGAGGCCAAACTGGGAGGACTGCTTGAGGCCTGGAGTTCGAAACCAACCTGGGCAACATAGCAAGACCCTGTCTCTACAAAAAATTTAAAAATTAGCCAGGCATGGTGGCACATGTCTGTTACCCTAGCTACTTGAGAGGCTGAGGTAGGGGGACAACTTGAGCCCAAGAGTTTAAAGTTGTAGTGAGTTAGGACCATACCACTGCACTACAGCCTGGGTGAGAGAGCAAGGCCCTATCCCTGCAAAAATTGGATCAAATATTTTGACAATAAATTCAAAACTGATTTACCAAGGGAAAAAACAAAAAGTGAATTATAAATAATTTGACAGACAGTTCAGCCCCCTATATCCAAGGGTTCTGCATCCAGGGATTCAAAGAATCTTGATAGAAAATATTTGGGAAAAACAATTCAATTAAAAAAAATACACCAATAAAAAGTAATACAAATTTTAAGAAACACAGTGTAGGCTGGGCATGGTGGCTCATGCCTGTAATCCCAGCACTTCGGGAGGCCGAGACAGGCAGATCACTCAAGGCCAGGAGTTCAAGACCATCCTGGCCAACATAGCAAAACCCTGTCTCTACTAAAAATGCCAAAAATTACCTGGGTATGGTGGCGCGTGCCTGTAATCCCAGCTACTCAGGAGGCTGAGGCATAAGAATCGCTTGAACTTGGGAGGCAGAGGTTGCAGTCAGCTGAGATGGCGCCACTGAACTTCAGGCTGGGCAACACAGTGAGGCCTGCCTGTAATCCCAGCTACTCGGGAGGCTGAGGCAGGAGAATCGCTCGAGCCTGAGAGGTGGAGGTTGCAGTGAGCTGAGATCGTACCACTGCACACCAGCCTGGGTGACAGAGTGAGACTCCCTCTCAAAAATAGGAAAGAAATACAGTGTAAGAACTATTTAAATCTTGTTTATATTGTATTAGGTATTATAAGTAATCCAGAGATAATTTAAAGTATACAGGAGGATGTGTGTAAGGTTATATGCAAACACGATGCTATTTTACATAGGGAACTTAAGCATTTGTGGATATTCATGTGGGGCCCTGGGGCCAATCTCCCATGGATAGTGAGCGACGACTATATTATCTCCATATTCTCCTTTAATCAAGACTTTTCATTACTAATGCCATCTCCTTGGCAAAAAGTATATCCCTTTTTCCATTTTTACTATTAATTACTCTATTCCTGTCTGCCCTTATTGCTAGCTATTCTCTTCCCTTCTTTTTCCTTGTATAACTGACTATAAACACAAATACTGGAAGGATGGTTAAT